TGTTGCCCAGGCTGGAGTGCAATGAAGCAATCTTGGCTCACTGCAACCTCTGCCTCCCGGGTTCAAGTGATTCTCCTGCCTCAGTCTCCTGAGTTGCTGAGATTATAGGCATGCACCACCACACCCAGCTAATTTTTTTTTTTTAGTAGAGACAGGGTTTCACTATGTTGGCCAGGATGGTCTCAAACTCCTGACCTCAGGTGATCTACCCACCTTGGCCTCCCAAAGTGCTAGGATTACAGGTGTGAGCTACTGTGCCTAGCCTAAAATTTTTTAAGAAGAATTTTTTACTGATATTCTGAGAGAAGGTAGAATTTTTAAAAATCATATAAATTGCTCAGAGTGCAGAAGCAGTAGCATCTGTAAATGAATAAAAAGCAGTTACAAACATGGTCAATATTAATCCAAATATAGTAACAATCACTTTAAATATGAATGGCTTAATACACTAATTAAAGGACAGAGATTGTCAGAGGGGATAAAAGACGAAGATCCAATTATATGCTGCCTACCAGAAATATACTTTAAATATAAAGACTCCAAAGTTTAAAAATAAAGGGATGGAAGAAGTTATACAATGCACTGATCAAAAGAAAACTGGAGTAGCGATGTTAATTCCAGACAAAGAAGACTTAGAACAGGGAAAATTGTTAGGAATAAACAGGAACGCTACCTAATGACAAAGGGAATTAGTTCTCCAAGAAATGTACATGCACCTGATAACACAGTGTCAAAATACATGAGGCAAAAACAAATAGAAATAAAAAGAGAAAAAGACAAATCCACTGTAGAGATGGAGAATTCAAAACCCTCTGTCAGTAACTGATAGATCTAGCAGGAATACAATACATAAAGGATATAGTTGACTTGAAGAACACTATCAATCAACTCGATCTGATTGGTATTTATAGAATACTCTACCCCATAATAACAAATACACATTCTTCTCAACCTCACCTAGAATGCTCACCAAGATAAGACCTCAAAACACATCTTAACAAATTTAAAAGAATAAGAACACACAACATATGTAATTCTAAATTAATAGTATTGTTACATAACGGACACATTCTCTAAAGAATATCTACTTTCCTTCACTTTTATTGTTTGCTCATGTGAAAGGAAAAATGAATCTTGGGACCCCAAAACCACTCAGCTAAAGGGAAAAGTCAGGCTGGGAACTGCTTAGGGCAAACCTGCCTCCCATTCTATTCAAAGTCATCCCTCTGCTCACGGAGATAGATACATATCTGATTGCTTCATTTGGAAAGACTAACCAGAAACTCAAAAGAATGCAAACATTTTTCTCTTATCTACCTTTGACCAAAAAGCCCCCTCCCCACCTCGAGTTGCCCTGCCTTTCTGGACCAAACCAGTGTACATCTTACATATATTGATTGATGTCTCATGTCTCCCTAAAATATATAAAACCAAGCTGCCCCCAAACCACTTTGAGCATGCCATCAGGACCTCCTAAGGCTGTGTCATGGTGTGTGTCCCTAACGTTGGCAAAATAAACTTCCTAAATTGACTGAGTGCTGTCTCAGATATTTGGGGTTCACACACAACAATATGCCTTCTGATGATCTCTTCTGCCTAGCTAATGCCTGCTCATACTCAGCCCAAACTTAAAGATTAAAAACTTTAATACAGTATAATAAAAGCATAAACAAAGTTAATCATTGAAAAGTAATCTACAGCCAGGTGCAGTGGCTCACGCCTGTAATCCCACCAATTTGGGAGGCTGAGGCAGGCAGATTGTTTAAGCCCAGGAGTTCAAGCCTGGGCAATGTGGCAAAATCCTGTCTCTAAAAAGATACAAAAATTAGCCAGGCATGGTGGCACACACCTGTTGTCCCAGCTAGTCAGAGGGTTCAGGCAGGAGGATTGCTTGAGCCTGGGAGGTTGAGACTGCAGTGAGCTTTAATTGAGCCACTGCACTCTAGCCCGGGTGATAGAGTGAGACCATGTCTCAAAAAAAGCAAGAAAAAAATAAAAGAAATCTATGGAAAATAATGCAATATTTATGACATAAAGGATTAATGCCCATAATATAAAAATCTATTTTATAAATCAATAAAAGAGCACATTCATTCTTGACTTAACTCATTCTCTATACAGTAGCCAAAGTAGTGTCTTTAAAACCCAAATCTAGCCATGCCATTTCCCTACTTGAAGTCCTTCAATGGTTTCACATTGATCTTAGAATGAAGTTCAAAAGCCTTAACAAGATCCACATGATCTGGTCCTTATCTATCTCTAGAATGGTCTCCCATTACCCTTCTCCTGTCTTTCTCAGGACTCTAGCCACACTGGTCTTTTCTCAGCTCTTCACACCTTAAAACCTTTGCATATACTGATTGCTTTGCCTGGAACCACCCCACCACCACCACCCTCTTCGACTAATGCCCACTTTTCCTTCAGATCTCAGCTTAAACATCATTTCTCATGAAAGTCTTCCGTCATCAATTCTGGATTGGTTCAGATCCTCCGCTATTTGCTCTATAAACCTAAACAAACAGAATAATGTTTCTGAACCTTCAGAACTCCAAACAAGACCCTGAGAAGTGAATCTTCCAAGGAATGTGAGGTTCCAGACAAAGCCTCTAGAATCTTCTTATCTATAGTAGTCAGGGTTGTTGAGGAAGCTCAGGAGAAAGTTAAGATGAGCAAGTCTAAGCTATTCATTCTGTACTTTTTTTTGAGTATAAACAACTTTGAGAACTTAATAAAATCTATGGGATTCATTTCTTCTTCTGGAGATTTCTCCTCCCCCAGAAAAAGGCACAGAAGCAAAACTTTGTGTAACGTTATCAATGTTGCAAAGTTCCCCTAACATACATTCATCCATTTATTCACCTCACATTAAGAACTCCAACCATCGGATGGTATGTATTTGTCACAGGCTGAAAAAAAAATCAGCCCAGTGAGAATCTCATAAAACAAGCACGTTGTTTCCCTAGCTTTGTTCATTTACTCATTGACTATCTACAGTATAGTGATTCCAGCAATAATAAAGCTTTATAAATGAAATTTGCTTTACAATTTAAAAGAAAATAAAGACTTTTCATATGCATTGTCTCACTCTTCCCCCAAACCCAATAAAGTGGGCACAGATTACTCTACCTATTTTGCAAATGAGAAAACGTAAGTAATCCCAGGGAACACGAGTGATCTGGCTCACGCAACTCAGCCAAAAAGGAGTGAAACCCAGGAGTAAAATGTACTCTTTTAACCCTAAGCCTGGCTCTTTCCTTTCATGTTGATACTGACTCCAAGGGCCGGTGGGTGGTACTAGGACTTGTCCTTAGTAATCTGATAATAATCCCAGGGGCCACAGTCTAAGCCTCCAGTTCCCATGGTGGTCAGCCTCACGCTCTCATATTACAGGTGATGATGCAATTTTGCCAATCAATGGTCACAGCAGCAGGACTCCCCTAATGTTTAGGGAAAGTAGCCAGAGCTCTTCATCCCCTTTCCGGAGAGCGTAGTAGCTCACATTTATTGAGTTCTTAGTACATGCCGGGCACTGTTCTAGGCTTTTTACATGAATTAACTCATTAAATCCTCAGAACAAAACCATGAGGCAGGTACTATTATAATATTATCTCCATTTTGTGGACACTTAGGAGAGATTAATTTGCCCGAGGTTACACAACTAATAATTTTCAGAGTCAAGATTTGAATCCTGGAGCCTGTGCTCCTAACCAAACCACCATCTGCCTCTCCTGGGCCCATTGTTCTTAACTTCTTGGGGTCAAGTATACTGGAGAGAATGTGATTAAAGCCCTGGACCTTCTCCCTAGGAAAATGCAGGTAAGCAGAATTTAGCATATTTCAGGGACTTTGGGGACACCTAAGACCCATCGTCTGTCGACCTCAGGCTTAGAATCTCTGTTTATCTCATACATCCTGGAGAGAATCGTCCAGGGACAAAAACAGAAGCGCCGCCAGCGCCGCAGGACTTCGCCCCTGCAAACGTGTGAGGAGAGCTGCGCTGCGCTAAGCTGCGTGGTGACGGAGATGCCCGTTCTCTCGGAATCAGGAACGGTGAGCTCCCAGGACTGCAATGCCCTGAGAACGCAGCCGGGTCGCTGAGCCTCCGGAGTCCGGTAGCTGAATGAAATACGCAGGGATCACCAGCCGGACCCAAATCTTGCGTCCCTGCCAGCATCCTGGAGTCCTAAGAGGCAGGGATTGGAGCTGACAGGATCTCAGAACTCTGGTCCCAGGCGCACAACGGCGGAGTCGCTGTTCCTGGTGCTGAAACACTCCGTCCTGGAAGAGCGTGGCCGCCTGCCCGCCTGGTACCGCGCCGCGGCCGCTGCGGGGAACTGTCCAGTGCTGAAAACGGATGCGGCCCGGCCCGCAGGGCTCAGACCCGAGCCTGCCGCACCCAGCGGAACTCGGACCGAGCTCCTGGAAGCACTGACGCAGAGCGCAGGGAGAGTCGGAGTGGCGAGCTCCAAGTCGGGCATGGACCTGCAGAGACCCGATTCCTACCAGGGAGGAGCTGGCCCTGACTTCAACGAGCACGTCCTACATAAGGTAAATATCTCCTGTATTTCCCAACCTAACCGTTGGAACAGGCGCCAGCACCAGTTTTCTCCACTCCCCTGACTTTGCTTTGGGACTTAATGAGAAACTAGCTTGTATCTATGAGTCTGGGGAGCCCTTTCTGTCTGATCCTGTTTCCTGCTCAAAATAGAGATGGGTGAGCTCTTGGGGAAGGGCTGCCTCCAGAGGCTCAGATGGTCAGAAGCTTCATTCATTCACTTAAATCATCTGTGTTCCTTTTTCACCCCTCCTTCTCCTTGCCTATTTATGCCCCTGTATGCCCCCTGGCACCTTTGCTGTCCTAACCCTTGTAGGAGACTGCATTTGTCCCTGTTACGTCTGCTAGCAGTGGCCAAACACCTGAATTTCTGGCCAATTTGTCTGAAATTAGAGAAATGGTCTGCAGCAGAGATGAACTGCTGTTTTCAAACCAGACTCCCTCATGGCTCCAGAAAGCTTCCCTCCAGCCATGACTCACTCACAGCCCCTGTAAGCATTTGCTTATTTCAAAGCACTAACACATCCATTGCTTCCTTCATTCAAGTTTCTTATGCAACTCAGTTTTCAGTAAAGCAGGTCTCCCCCTAAGACGGTTGGAGGGGAAAATAGTAGCCTCTCTCAGGATAACAGTTTTAATTCAAAATCCATCACTCTGAAAGAATCAAAGCCTTATATTTGCCATGATATGTTATGGCTCACCTTCCCTTTCTCTGACTTTCCCATGCCCTCCTACTCCAGCCCTTATAATTTCTGCTTTGATAATGCCAGTTCACCTGTTAGTCCCTTGGAAGGCTGTATGTGATCCTGCAGGTGGAGTTTTTTAATCAAAACATCACTTTGAAGAGTCTATGAATGCAAGCTTTGAAATAACCTAACCCCACCTCCTCCTCTATCACACAGCTTTTATTTGAGGAAACTAAAACCCAGAGAGGCAAAATGACTTGTCCAAGAAAGCAAGCTGGTAAATGGCAGGGCTGATACTAAAAGCCAGAAATTACTACTCCTTATGTAGTATTCTTTCTTCTATATCCTTACTAAACTTCTCATCAAAGTGTTCAGTCCAGGTGCCATGCTGCCTGTTTCTGACACAAATGAAAGAAAATCAGCTACTGAAGGAAGCAGGTCTGTAGATCTGACAGTCTATGTATATTCTCCCTCCAGGTCTCTGAATTACTAGGATACAGGGAAGGAGAAAAAATGTATAACCACTACCCCAGTCTAGAAATTTTAAAGCCATCACAGTCTGAAGTAAACTAGAAGTTCTGTGCTATTTGATGTTGTAAAGTTAGCCCAGTAAAAAGTGCATGCGAGGCGAGGCATGGTGGCTCACACCTGTAATCTCAGCACTTTGGGAGGTTGAGGCTCACTTTGGATCACTTGAGGTCAAGGGTTCGAGACCAGCCTGGCCAACATGGTGAAACCCATCTCTCCTAAAAATACAAAAATTAGCTGGGCATGGTGGTATGCACATCTGATCCCAGCTACTCAGGAGGCTAAGGCAGGAGAATTGCTTGAGCCTGGGAGGCAGAGGCTGCAGTGAGCCAAAATCATGCCCCTGCACTCCACTCTAGCCTGGGCAACAAAGCAAGACTTTGTCTCAAAAAAAAAAAAATGTTTATGCAAGCAGAGGAACATAATTACAAATCTATTACAAAATTGTCCTGGCAACTAGATAAGTGAGTCTCTCCAAGTTTATACCATCCTATAAATGTATAAATATTCATTTTGAAAGCTTTAAGATTGGGAGCTCAGATTATTCAAAATATTGATCAGATGTGGTATTTTCCATTTCAATTACCCACACATGAGATGTAGGATGTAGTCCATGAAAACTTTTACTTCCTTTGAGTTTATTGATCACCAAATTGAGAGTGGGAACCCATTCCAACAAGTTCCAATACTACTATTTACTAGTAGTAAATAGAGGCAAGTGTCTATTTACTACTAGTAAAGGCTCAGTGTCATCAGCTTGGCTGTGTGAGCACCCTGAGAGTGGAAGCCAGCCTTAAGCCTTCTGTGGTGCCCAGCAGAGTGACATATGTATGTAAGGAAAGTTTTCCTTCCTATATAGTGCTGACAACCTCCTCCTAATACCACTTTATGATTGTGCATGATGTTTTATTGTGATCCACTTAAAATGCTTTTTGTAAAGGGGCAGGGCATCAACTTATTTGTATTATTTTAAAAATTAGTATGTAGTAGAGTCCAAGGAGTTCCCACTGATTAATTAGTGTCTATTGTCCATGAGAAGCAGGGCTCCCCTCCAACATTAATTGCTAGGATAAATTTTTTTTTGAAGTGGGGTCTCACTCTGTCTCCCAGGCTGGAATGCAGTGGTGTGATCTCAGCTCACTGCAACCTCTGCCTCCCAGGCTCAAGTGATCCTCCCACCTCAGCCTCCTCAGTAGCTGGAACTGCAGGCATGTGCCACCATGCCTGGCTAATTTTTTGGTTGTTGTTGTTTTGTAGAGACAGAGTTTCATGATGTTGGTCAGGCTGGTCTTGAATTCCTGGCCTCAAGAAATCCACTCACTCAGCCTCCCAAAGTGCTGGCATTATGGGTATGAGCCACCATGCCCAGTATAGAGAAATGATTTTTTAAATAGACTTGTTATTGACACATAACAAACATCACTTTGGGAAGCTGAGTCAGGCAGATCACCTGAGGTCAGGAGTTCAAGACCAGCCTGGCCAACATGGTGAAACTTTGTCTCTACTATAAATATAAAAATCAGCCAGGTGTGGTAACACACTCCTGTAATCTCAGCTACTAGGGAGGCTGAGACAGGAGAATCACTTGAACCCAGGAGGTGCAGACTGCAGTGAGCCAAGATCATGCCACTGCACTCCAGCTTCAGCAACAGAGCAAGACTCCATCTCAAAAAACAAAAACAAAAACAAAAAAAAAGAAAAGAAAAATGACAAACACCAAGCAATTCTGAATCTTATGTGTCTACCTTGGTGAATCATCACAGAGTGAACATACCTGTGTAACCACTATCAAGAGAAACAAATAGAGCCTTGTCAGCTTCCCAAGAGCCCCCCTCCCACATTCCGCTTGCCACATACCCTCCCCCAGAGATTATCATTATAGAGGAAGAAGTATCATCTTGCATTGTGACAGTGCAGCAGATGTTATGTAGGGTAGTCCTAGAAACTTGCCAGAGGGGAGACATTGTTGTATGATGAAACGAAACTCCAGGCTTGGAATAAGCCAAACCTTGATGTGACTTTGAGCAACATCTGTGAGTCTTACTTTTCTTAGCTATAAAATAGGAATGATAATACCTGCCTTATTATTTTTGAGCAAAGATGTTAGATAATATAATGTAAGGCATATATATAAAATATCTGGAATATAGGAAGCATTCAGTAAAAGTGGTTGTACTAGCTGGGCACGGTGGCTCCCAGCACTTTGGGAGGCCGAGGAGGGAGAATCATGAGGTCAGGAGATCGAGACCATCCTGGCCAACATGGTGAAACCCCGTTTCTACTAAAAATACAAAAATTAGCGGGTGTGGTGGCACGCACCTGTAGTCCCAGCTACTCGGGAGGCTAAGGCAGGAGAATCGCTTGAACCCGGGAAGCAGAAGTTGCAGTGAACCAAGATCACACCACCGCACTCCAGCCTGGTGACAGAGTGAGACTCTGTCTTAAATTTAAAAAAAAAAAAAAGAAAGAAAAGAAAAAAAAGTATTAGGGCATGCATCTTGGGCTCCAAAGCGGCTTCAATGGGTGTCACATTCAGTCTCACCTAAAATGATGAGCTTTGTGAGAAGAGCAGCAGCTTCATACTCAGAAACACACACACCACATATTTCACAGGCAGAAGTCCGAAGTCCATGGAAACAAACTCACACAACCCACCTATACAAAAAGCGTGACTTCTATGCAAACATCCCAGTTCTGACTTCCTAAGTTAAATATCTTTTTTCTCTTGAAGGCAATGTATGGGACATGATGAAATTCATTTATATGAAAAACATACGCCAAATATCATCACAGGCATTGTGTAGCTCTTGCACTTTAGCTGGTCCCGGTAGTTGGAGGCTAACCCAGGCAAGCCCAGGTAACTCTTAGAAGATTCCCGGAGGGTGGGCTAGAAACTGGGAACTGACTGAAAACATTGAGCTCATCCATCATGTGCCCGGAGTTTTTAAATAGAGTTGTTGCCACAAATCTGAATATTTGATGCGACTAAATAATTTAAAACAAATGAGCAACCTGGTTGCTCTTTTCCTCAGAGAACTCTCAGTTCTCTCTTGCCACCAGCTTCGAGAGCCATCCAGGGCAATGGTACGGGGTAGGGGCCCTACTGTGCCAGGGTCTGACCTTGAGTTCTGGGAAAATGAAAAGATTTTCATTTCATTTTCACAGAGAGGGCAAGCTTTTGCCCCAGATACCAGTGAATTAGGACAAAAGGGCTTCAGTTCAAGCACTTACTTCCTAATTCCCCATCACCAGGGCTCTAAGGAACACCCACATACCAGTCTAACTTCCAGAGGGACAAACAGTTCCTAGGACAAAGTCAGTCTCAGAAAGACCCGGGGCAGGGGGCAGAAAAATGCGAGCTGCTCATCCATTCATCCAGGGCTTGGTTCTCGTTGGGTGAAAAGGGATTACCAGGTCTCTGTCTTCCAGAGTATTTCCATTTCCTCTGACCGCTCTAACACCTCTTCTGGGTGAAAGGAAAAGGCAAGCAGGTAATATCTGCCACTCTCCCCAAGATGCAAGATGGGGATCTCTTGCACTTGTTCTTCACTTCCTTCTACTACCCATCTCATAATTTCTGTGTCCCTCAAAAGTCCGCGTGCCTCATCGATTCATTTAGCAAACATGCATTGGACATTTCCAAAGCATAAAGAACTAGGCTTGTCATTATCGAGAACATAGATGCATATGATTCCCATCTTCACTAAGCTTATGGCCTAGAAGGCATGCACACAAATGGCTATACTTCTATATAATCCCAGAAGTGTCCTAAGATAGAT